TAAAGTTATCCGTTTTAAATGAAAATTGGGTTTTTGGGTAGATCTCGTAAAATGATGACCAACGATATATAGTTTGTTAAATTTGGACATACGTGTAAAGCGTGGTGAGCATAATAGACATTACACTTCAATAAATAAATATAAGGGTTTTATAATAAAATAATAATAAATCAATATAATACTCCTAATTCTACCCGTAGAGGGATTGCCAAACCCATCCCCTTAAATATACACACGCACGCACAATTGAAGGGAGAGAAGAAAAGAAAAAAAACATATACGGAGTACTGGTCGCTTATTCCTATTTGCTACACGTAGGTAACAGGAACGATGAATAATGAGACGGTCTTAGAGGCAGCGAGGGCGAAGAGATGGATGGATGCTAGCTGGAGGAGTTATCTTATTTAATATTTAAGTTTGAATTATTATATTCTTAAGGGCAGAACCCAAAGTTGTATTTTGATTAAGTACTTAAAGGCTTCCGCACCGTTTTGATTTACTCTGATGGATATTTAAATATTGTTTTGAATTAAATGTTTTAAATTGTTTTGGAAATTATTGTGTTTGAACGCCAATCTAGTGACAACCCGGTCCGCTGGTCCTTGTATTCGGGTCACGCGGGTTGGGGTGTTACACTCTCCCTATATAATCAGGCCCTATGGCCATTGTAAACATAACTTTGAATATTAAAAACTCCTTTTACTCTTTGAGTATTTATAAAATATTGTGATGCTATTTTAGCCAAATTCCTAATTCTATATCTTGAGAGTGGTTATCTTAAGTGTGAGTTTTAGGTTCTAGATATTTGATTAAGTTTTTGATATCTTAATTAAATTCTAGATTTAAACCACAAGTTAGGATAAGAGTGTCTAATATCTCTTAAACACCAACTTGGTTTATCCATCTCTGATTTTCTCCCATTTCATACCTCCCCATTTCTCCCCTTAACCTTACTCTTTTCTTCCATTAAAATGTAGGATCGTTTTTCTGGAACTTCCTAGTGGGTCACCCATCCTGGGACTACTCCCGTTCCTACACGCTTAACTACAGAGTTCTGAAGTTAAAGAGGTGCCAAATGCTTCCTAAAACCAATTGGTGATAGGAAGGTGGACACTTTGTATTTAACCACATCTCAGTAGCCCCAAGCCGAGGTAGATTCCTATAGGGCACCCCCTATAGTTTACTACGGAAGAGCGGAACCCCACTACTGAGCGGTGGATGGACAGGAGGGGCTTCGCAAGATACACAACTCGTGTACCTCGTCAGGTTGGGCTATCAGTACCCGATACCGTGACTAGCACAGTAGCAAATCCCTAAGGGTGATCGATGGTCCCCCATAAGACCAACAATCTCCCCCCCCCCCCCAGCGACACCCGGGGGATTCGAGCCTGCTTCCTTGCTCCAATACCATTATAAGATCGTTTTTCTGGAACTTCCTAGTGGGTCACCCATCCTGAGACTACTCCCGTTCCAGCACGCTTAACTACAGAGTTCTGAAGTTAAAGAGGTGCCAAATGCTTCCTAAATCCAATTGGTGATAGGAAGGTGGACACTTTGTATTTAACCACATCTCTGTAGCCCCAAGCCGAGGTAGAATCCTATAGGGCACCCCCTATAGTTCACTACGGCAGAGTGGAGCCCCACTACTGAGCGGTGGATGGATAGGAGGGGCTTCGCAAGATACACGACTCGTGTACCTCGTCAGGTTGGGCTGTCAATACCCGATACCGTGACTAGCACAGTAGCAAATCCCTAAGGGTGATCGATGGTCTTCCATAAGACCAACATAAAATACCCAAAAGAACTCCTTTATCATCTCCATATATTTACAAGCCATTTCCCCACAAAACATCCTTTTCCCTGCCCAGAATTCTGCCCAACAATCGATTATCTTGGTTGACAATCGATTATCTATCATCGTTGAAACACCTGCAGCCTTCAATAGTCGACTGTCCACTTTAGACAATAGATTATCACTTCCTCCTGAAATCCTGCAGCCTCTAACAGTCGATTATCACTCTTTGTCAGTCGACAATCTTCCCCTCCTACATTCCCTTGGAATAAGCTGCGAGCCTCAATAATCGATTATCATATACTGATAATCGACTATTCGCTTTCCCTGAAGTTTCTGGGTTTTAGCAGCACAGCTCCACAATCGATTATCACCTGGCCATAATCGATTATCACCTGCTCCTGAACCTTGAACTCAAGCTGCATCATCCCTTAATTCCTTCTCAAAATAACAACTCGTTAAGACCCCCGGTTCAGGTATAACACTCTTTCCATAATCGTGATATATATAGTCTCTGGAACATGACCATTGATGGAAAATAATTATCACCAGCCAAAATACGTACAGTAAATGGATTCAAATTACCTATAGACGAGAACATACTCGCTAATACTATAAACTGCTGACGATATGGCGTATTGAGACTCTTGAACAATTAGATTCGCTGTCCTGAAACACGTTCGAATCCAAGACGAAAAGTCAAAACAGCTATTCCTAAGATAATAACCACTTGAGTAATTTCCAAAGAGTGAAACATTGAAGGAAGAAAATCTACGATTAGTAACAGCAATTCGCAAACGCTATCTTTATATCTCGTGACTCATATCCTTGAATTACTCAAACTTGATGTGTTAACTACACTCTTGAAACATCTCACTTGATCAATCTTGAAAAGATTGAATTCCATTATTTATATCAAAATAATAAAACCACGATTCTTCATTAAGCGAAAAAATGCTTAATCATACCGATCTTTGAAAACTATACCTTGTGGAATACGTGACTAGATCACAATAGTAAAACTACCCTGACTTGAACATTATGTTTGAACCGCTCTTTGCGGGCCACAAAACAATCAATACAATTACGTTATCTCTGAAGATTATTATCGATGGTCTTATTGACCAAACAAACTCCGTTATAACCCTGGCAAGGAAATGTATGTGCGACAACCCAAGAAGAAATTATGCCAAAATGATCAAGCTGGATCATTCAAAAAAAATCCTGAATTAACATACGATGTTGGTGTAAGAACTCATATGACTCCTTACTCTTTGAATTCGTAAATTGAATCACATACTGAAGATGTTCTCTTTGTAACGCCATGAAAACCGGCTTAGTAGTTAGCCATTATTTTAATAAAAATGAACATATTATTTATTAACTTTAAAATATGAATTATTTGTAAGTTGACCATTTTAACTAAAAGTTAGGTTTTCGGGTAGATTTCGTAAAATGGTGACTAACGGTGTATAATTTGTTAAGTTTGGACATATATGTAAAGCGTGGTGAGTAAAATAGATAATACATTTTAATAATAAGTTAAAAAAATGTTGCAATATGATATTAGAATAAATATTAGTAATAAAGAATTGGCGTGTGATCGTTTTCCAAACCTGAAGAAAAAGAGGGCCACTTGAAGGTATTTAATGTACGGAGTCCATCCAATCTCCATCGCCATCTGTCTTCTTCGTTTCGCACGCAACCAGGGTCAATCGCCGGAAAGCTTCGCTAGGCATCGTCGAGAAAGCTTCGCCGGAAATCTTCACCGGAAAGTTATATCTTCGTCAATCGAGGTGAGTGGTGGTATCTCTGGTTAAAATTGATTCGTAGATTAGGATTTGTTGATATATTCTCGTTCAATTTACGTTGAATTTGTGATTAGGGTTATCGGATTGTGTGATTAATTGTGTTTGGATTCGAAATTAGCATTGGTTTTTGGGAAATTGGGATTGGATTGTTCCTCCTCTCATTTTTGCGTTCGGTCTCTGTTCTGTTCTTTCTGTGTTTCGCCCAAATCTACTGTGTACAACGATTCTTTAGCCTCGTGCTAGTACGCTGGTCCATTCGTCTTTGCATTCTGCTGCCGTGGAGTTTTGCTGTCAGCCGCCGCCACCTGCTACCGCCATTAGACGTAGAGGGGTGCTGCTGTCGTTGTTGCAGTGTCGCAGTTCGGCGGCGGAGATGCTGCTGTCCACCGTACTCGGGCGATGACACACACGGACTGAAGAATTCTGCTGGGCCGCTGGACCTTGTCGCCGCCGCTGTGTTCAGGTCGTCTAGTTGCTGCCTGGCCGCCGTGAGGAAACCGTGAAGTTGCTGGGACGCCGATTGATGCCGCCGGATTGCTGCTCTGTTCCGTCGCTGGAGCAGTGCAGACCTGTTCTTGTTCTTCTGCTTACAAACAAAATAAAGGAACAAAAATATAGTTTTGTTATTTGCAAGTTGGCCCAGTCTTTAAATTGTTTTCAATTTGGCCTTCTTCATACTTTGACCTTAAAATTTAAACATTGAACATCAACCTAAGTCTATGAACAAATGTAATACGTGAAGAAAATCAGGTTTGCTTAATATGGTGATGAGTTTATCGAGAGTAACTAGAGAATAAGGTCATGCGGGTGACGTCGTTCATCCGGTGGTCTCGAGGGTTAAAACGTGCGCATGGTGGTCATTGACCCCTGGCGAGAGCCAGCGGGGGCCTACACCCCCTCCATTGCGAGAGCTTTGGAGTTATGAGTGTCGGTTTGGGTGAGAGCCTGGATTCCATTACTCCCGTAAGTATGAATTGGATTATATTAGCAGGCATATGGAATAAGTACGCATAAGAACTAAACTAAATTAAAAGGGTAATTAGTGGTACTGTTGGATAACGATATTTGCTAATTCTTGTGATATTTGTTGGCCATGGGTGCAGCAATTATCCCGTGGCGGAGGCTATGTGGGCCAAGTCACAATCGAATGTCATGAGTGCTTGTGTGTTGAATGCACTATAAGGCTAGGGTATGCGCCTCTTCTAACACCAATTGGTTTTAGAAGAGTTGGTAGCGCCTGAGGTCTTACAAGTGGTATCGGAGCCAAGGTCACGAGTTCGATTCCCAGCGGGAGCAATTGCTGAGGGGGAGATTGTTGGCCATGGGTGCAGCAATTGTCCCGTGGCGGAGGCTATGTGGGCCAAGTCACAATTGAATGTCATGAGCGCTTGTGTGTTGAATGCACTATAAGGCTAGGGTATGCGCCTCTTCTATTACCAATTGGTTTTAGAAGAGTTGGTAGCGCCTGAGGTCCTACAATATTGTTTGATTATATATTTGTGGGTGCTAGTCTATGAGTTGGTTTTAGCGTTAGATATTTCCACTCTCCCTATTTTTACAGGTAGGGATCAAGGATTAGACGAGGAGCAGCCGGGAGGACAGTGAGGCGTGACGCTGGTGGATGACCGGAGCTGTTTTATTTAAATTGAATATAGTTGTTGAATGTGTTTACTTAAATTACTTGAACGTTGAATGTTGTTTTTTAAGGCTTCTGCAACGTTTGAATTATTTACTCCGATTATTTGTGAATTGTTTTTTTTAAATAAATGTGAATTGATGTTTTATTATTAAATGTTTTAAAATATTGGGCATGTGAATACCAAATTCGTAACAACCCGATTCGCTAGCTCGTTGGTTCGGGTTACGCGGGTTGGGGTGTTACATTTTGGTATCGGAGCATGTGGTTTTAAAAATGATTCTCGGAAAAAAATAGAGTAAATTTATTTTCAAAAAAAAATGTTCTCCCAAAAAAGAGGAAAAAGAAAAGGGCATCCACAGCTTCATGACGTCAGCTCTGAATCCTTATTATGTACATATATGAAAATTTTGTCTTGATTATTAGTTGATTTGTTTGTTAATTAACATGTGATTTACATGAAATAATAAAAAGGGAATCGTTGTGTAAAACAAGAAGAACATAAGCACGAGAAGGTGAAAGTGTTCAAAAAAAACTTGCTTATGAAAAAAAATATTGAATCCAAGAAGTAAATTATTAAAAAAAAAGAAAAAAAAATTAGTGAGCCAATTGAAAGAAAGTCTTAGAAATTTCTATACATATGGAAAATAAAATATTTTACTCAATAATCATTCGTTTCGTTGATTACTGAAATAAGAACCAAATTCAGAAGGGGCTGCAGACCTGGATGAATAAGGATGCTTTATTTTAGTGTCAGACGAATGTGACAACTTAAGTAACGTAAAAAGTGTTTCTCTTTATTAAAAAAAAGGGTTAACAGTAAATCTTGTAAAGCAAAAAAAAGTACATTGTTTTAAAAAAGGTAGTTTTTCCCATAGTATTGCTTACCTTTAAAAAAAATGGTGTAATAAGGATCGTGGATGTATAATGTTTGAATTAGGAGAACAAACGGAATATAAAAGTATTCTGACCAAAAAAATATTTGTTACTTAAGTAGTTAAATGGTAAAAATGCAGAATGGATCCTATCGTTAATTATGACAATGATCATCACTCTGAGGATGGGAGCGTGCAACAGAACGGCCACCAGAATATGAACATGAACCAGAACGTCCCACACCAAGAGGCGCCGAATGGTGGGCCTGTTGGGGTTACCCAGATCGACCATGCGATGATGATGCAGCTCCTACAGCAAGTTCTGATCATGAATCAGAATGCCTTAGCGCACGTTCGACAACCGGAACCGAGGATCGCGCTCGAGAAACTGAAGAAAAACGGCGCTGAAGAATTCCTAGGCGAGAACATCGCCGACCCATTGATTGCATTTAGATGGATAGAGCGCATACAACGGGTATTCGAGAATTTGAAGGTTCCAGCTAGCGAGTGGGCCGATTTTGTGGTCATGCTTTTACAGAGTAATGCGTACGAGTGGTGGAAGCGCACTACTCGAAATGCGAATAATCTAGCAAAAGTGACGTGGGCGTACTTTGATCAAGTGTTCAGAGAGGAGTACATTCCCGAGTCGTTTGTGGAAGAGAAACGAGAAGAGTTTCTACAGCTCGAGATGGGTACGATGAGTCTTCCCGAGTATCGTCAGATGTTCGACCATCTCACTGAGTTCGGCTAGGACTTGGTGAACACCACCAAACGTCGTTGCGATAGGTTCGTGAAGGGCATGCGCCCGAAACTTCAGAAGCACGTGTCTACTGCATCTAGGCAAGACTTTGGTGATATGTACGAACAGGCCAAGGAAGTGGTTCGAACTAAAGAAGGAGTGAATCAGAAGAACAACCAACAATCAACTAAGACAACTATGCATGCAGCTAGCATGATCAAGACCCTTTCGGGAAAGAGACCTCCAAGTGGACCCGAGCTACAAATCTCAAAGAAGGCCAACTCATTACCCACTCAATCCGTAGCATCTACGAGCAAGGGCAAGCAACCAATGCATCCGTTGTGTTCTGATTGCAATCTTCATCACTTAGGTGAATGCTAGAAGAAGCTGGGGTTGTGTATGGGATGTGGTCAGTCTGGCCACTTCCGAAGGAATTGCCCGACCAATCCTGGTTTTCCATTCTCTACTGCGCCAGCACCGAGTCATACGCCTACTACTAGACCTGCGCAGAGTGAGCGTACGACCGCTACATCTCAACGTCCTTAAAGACCACAACAGCCTGCTGCACAACAGCAAGCTAGAGCTCCAGCTAGAACTTATGCCATGCAGGGAAGAATTGATCCTAATCCGGACGTCGACTATGGTACGTCCTTATATGCATTGTAGGTATAGATTGTGGTATGAGATCTTAACTTAACTACGTATTGTGACCGTACCTTCTTATTTGGTTACGTGTATAGTTGTAAAGAGTAACAACAATTTCTTACGACTCCACGTAATCCGCGTGAATTCAATGTCTTTGTCTTTTTTTTTTAACGACACAAAGGAATTTCGAGGACGAAATTCTTTTAAGGGAGAGAGAAATGTAACGCCCTGAAAACCGGCTTAGTAGTTAGCCGTTATTTTAATAAAAATGAACATATTATTTATTAACTTCAAAATATGAATTATTTGTGGTGGTCCCGAAGTGGTGAGTTACAAAGTCTAGAGGAGGGGGAATAGACTTTGTTACAAATTTTAAAAACTTTTTCGTTTCTTTTGAGAACGTGAAAATGAGTGTTAATCTAGAGTTCTTGTGAACTTTAGATTATGTGCGGAAGTTGGTGGGAAGAGTGAGCAGTAATCAATATGGATGGCTTAGTTTTCTCAGTTAATATAATTGCAAGTAAGAATAAAGATAAAAGATAAAGAATGGGTGTTTGGACATACCCAATTGTTAAAGGAGAGATTCCTTTTTCCATAGAGTCCGTCTTCTAGCTGTTGTTCAAGTATTCTGGACTGTAGAACTTTACTCTGTTTGTCTTCTAGTGCTTGTTTAGGAATTCTGGACAGGTTCTTCAATTCTTAGAGGTCCAGACTTTGTCTTCGAGTCATTTGTTCTTGAATCAGCATAATTATCTTCAATCTAGCCGTTGAAAATCAAGAGATTGATTTTTCCTTACCAACGGGTAGAATTTCTTCATTCAAGACTTAGATAATTTTCTAACTCTTTTCTCACTTGTCCGTTTTTTGAGAATTCCGGTCTTCCCTGAGGCATCCGGTTCTTAGCTGACAAATCCAGAAGAGTCATACTCAGTCTTCCTGGTGAGAAGGAAATCCGCGCTAGTCTTTTGACTTAGCCTTCAGCGGGTTGTAATGAGACATCCGGTTCTCATGTAATATTCAGATAGGAGGATTTTTGTTTGCTTTGAGAAATCCTTACTTGTCTCTGATATTTCCGATCAAGATATCCAATTTCCAAATTTTTTTGAATTTGATTAAGTCTTCAGGCATCAAACCATTTAAGGAAATATCACAACTTAATTGGAAATCTCAAGAACTTGGTTTTAACAATATTTCTAAAAATTACATTGAAAACCTGGGGAGACCTAAAGTCCCTATTACATTCTAAATACATCATCATCAAAATCTATGATATATTTTTTTCCCAACAATTTCCCCCTTTTTGATGATGACAAACAAGTGTTTAAGAGTTCCGGTCGCTGTACTGAGAACTAATTTTGTAACTCTCTTTTAGTTTCTCATAATATACAGCTTGTTAACAAAAACTCTTAAACAAATACAATTCAAATTACAATAATTCCTAAACCAAGTCTTGTCTTGAGATTTTGTGATTTCTTCCGCCATTGACCGTTTTTAGCTTCAGCAGATTCTGCTTGGCGGAGCGGTTGGCGTTGCGTTTGATAGATCTTTAATATCCAAAGTGGATATTTAAGATCTTGGAAGCAACACATCGCTCAAAATAAGAAGAAAGATAGAGAGAGTGTTGTTCTAGAGAAGGTGTATGGTGTAATCCTGAAAAATACGAGATTTTCACCATAGACCTTCTCTACTGCCGAGATTCTCACCATAGACTTTGAAAGTCTTTTCTTCTCAATAGGCTTCTTCCATTGCCGTCTATGAGGGTGAGAAAGAAAAATTTTTCCATTGAGGATATTTTTCTTTGTGTGTTTCTTAGACAGTGAGTTTGAAGACTTTTCATATTGAAAGAGCTGTTTGTGATAGGAATGGATTGAGATATCTTGATTTAAATAAGAGAGGAGGTAAAGAGAGGGGAGGTTCACGGGTTCCATTAATTGGGTAGATGGAACAGTGAGAGTGAAAGAGTTTCAACTTCCAAGAAGTTGAAAAGTAGAAGGAATCTTTAAACAATTACCAATGCATTGAAACTGTTCCAATTTGAAAATCAGTTTCGTTTGGTTTGAGAACCATAATTGTTTTAATTTGGCTAAGTCCAAAAGAGTGGCCCAAAAAGAAAAGAAAGCTATGTACTAAAGGGAAATTATTCCTATTGGGTTCTCAAGGCCCAAAATAAGGCTATCATTTTTCATTCCCTATAGTTCTAATTTCTACTTAGGACGAGGTAGTACCAAAACAAATATGAATTTTATTTTTAAAAGAAAAGTGTACTATTTTTCCAAAGTCCTGTACATTCTAAACATCCTAAGGACCAGTACTTTTAGAGCTTGTTGGAAATGAATTAAGGACTGAAGCTTAGTTTAAGAAGACAGATTTTGTAAAGTACCTGAATCGGAGATTTCCAATTTTAGTCCCAAAACTGAGATATCCGTCTTCCGTTGCTTAGAGCTTATCAATAATTCATTGCCAAAAACAATTGTTAGCCAAAAACTAGTTAAGTTCCCCCTGAATTACATCCCCCCTGAATGTATGCGCTAAGAATAGATCTCAAAAACATACTTGAATTAGGTATAATCAAGCATAGTGAGCACAATTAAGAGAAATATTAAGGCAATGTTTAAACCAATAGAGCAATGTTTAAATAAGAAGGTGTTTTCATCAAAGCAAATTAATGTTTTCACATACTTTCCCCCTGATTTGATGAAAAAAGCCTTCAGTGCTTCTTGCGCTTTGAAGATTCGGCAATCTCCCTGATGCCTTGCATGTTTCCACATAGTTCTTTATTGCGCCTTATGTTGTTCCGTCTCTTCCCTGTTTGATTTTCATTTGAGAAGTGAGCAGCAATTGTTCCTACAGCCTCTGTTCCATCCAATCCGAAGCTGGATAAGCGCTGTGTTGAGTTTTCCGGATTGCTTCTCTGAGCTTCATGGACTAGATCAGTCAAGTTTAGATGCGTAGGAATGTAAGAGACTTCTCCTTCTTTGACTGCAATGGGGAGCTCTGGAATCAAGGATGGACTGTGTTGTTGAAGAACCACTTCCATCTTGCGATTTCCAGAATTTGTGGTAAGAAGTCTGAATAGTTTGTATGCTTCCTTCTGATTGTCAATGATTACCTTCAAGTAGTCTTTGGTTACTACTTGATTTCCTGAAGACACTGCCAGAGCTGCTCTGATGTCCATTTGGAGAATGGACATTTGTTTTTGTAGACTGATTGTGACATTTGCTACTTGCTCTCTGATGTTGTTAGCCTCCTTGAGTTGAAGATAACTATCAGATGCATATGTCTCCATCGTGTTGCTCACAGTGTTACTCAATAGAGATAAGATTTCTAGAGTCTTATCCACTGATTTGCTTATCTCCTTGAGATTGGAGCAATGTGTTTCTTCGAATTTCTCAATCAGTTTGTTTTGCCTGGCTTCCATCTGCTCTATCTCTTGCCTAAAGGAGGCATGTTGAGATGCTAGGGTTGAGTCAATCAGCCCTTGGACCTTCTTTGTCCAGATTTCCGGTACCTCATCCGGAAGAGTAGGAATGGAAGAGCTATGGAAATGGAAGTTGTTTACCTGATGAGAAGAGAGAGTTCTTTGGAAGGGTTGCATAGGAAGAGATTCAGCATCATCTTGTACATCTTCTTCATCATTGATCTTCAGGGTTCTTTCAGATTCTTCTTCTGCTTCCCCAAGTGTGAAGTTTGATATATTCCGAGAGAGGGAGTCTCTTTCTTCTGCTTCATTCTGTCCTTCAAAAATGGCTACTGGAGATTTGGAGGCCTCCAGTTCTGCCATTTGAGTTTCCTTCTCAGCTTCTGCAGAACTTCTCTGGGCTTCTACAGCTTGCTCTTCTTGAGCTTCATTTGTTTCTAGAGTTTTGGACATCTCCAGATTTTTTGTTGACTCCTCCGGGATCTCTGCTTCAGTAGGGTTGGTGATCTCACAAGGATTTGTGAGAATCTCTAAAGCTTCAGAATAGAGAAGTTGCTGGAATTCTTCATTTGATCCTTCCTGGTTCTGTTTTGGTGTAGAGACTTCAGCTTCAGGTGGAACAGTTTCAAAGGCAGATGAGGCTTCCGGAAATATTTGGAAATCCTCAGCTGTTGTTTCCAAGTTAGCTTGTGCTTCAGAAGTGAGAACCACCTGATCTTCTGTGGTTTTTGAAAGGACTGGTTTGTATACTGCAGGATCCTCATCATCCACCTCAAACTCTGAAATTGGTGAGGTGACCAAGTGTTCCAGATGCAAATCTTCATAATTCCTTTGCCATACCCAGTCAACATCCAGGATTTGCTCACAGCAATAGTTGATTGGCAGACCTAAGCATTTCTTGATGATCTTTTCATTCTTCAATTGCTGGTCCCAACTCAGCAACTGTTCTGCTGAATTTCCAACTTTCCAAGCTCTCCAGTCATAGTAGAGCTGCCAGAATTGATTCTCAGCATCATCTACTTGAGGTTGTGAGGAAGTTAGAGAATTCTGAACTTGAGGAATTTCCTCTTCAAGTTGTTGAGGACTCCGGTTGTGAGCAGAGGTGTCCTCAGTTGGTTCCTTCTCCTTCAACTCATCCGGATTGACATGTCCAGATGTTGAGGGAGAGGTGATCTTCCTCTTCTTTTTCCTTTGTAGTTCACCTTGGTCAGAGATTTCTTCTTCTTCTTCAAGATTGATTGGAGCAAGATTCTGTGGTACTTCAGCACTGGGAGAGGGAGACACCACTTGTTTCCTCTTTACTGATTTGTTCAGACTCATGATAAGGACATTGTCTGAAGAACTTTCCTCTGCAGTTGTGCTAGCACCACCTCTGTTTTCCCCTTTGGAAGACAGATAGTACAGCCAATATCTGGCTTCATAAAGCAGCACCCAAGGACTCCAAGATATGTCCAATGTACATACCTTGACAAAGGTATTTCTGGTTGGGTTTTCCCAGGTGCTTTGAGATGGAATTGAAGAAATGAGCAGCCCAATTTACCTTAGACTTGGTAATGAGGGCATTGATGATTGAGGTTCTCATGTTTATTCCGTTGTTTGGGGGAGTATATTTTTGGGCAAATTTTTTTTCAAAAAAATAAGTTTTGGGTCCAAATATTTTTGTCATTCTTAATTGCATATCTCCTTATTTAGAGCATTGTTTTTAAACATTGACCCAAAAACTTCAATTTTTTTTGTGATTTATTCTGAAAGATAACAAATGTTTCTTTGCAAGCTTGTCTTGAGTCTTAAGCCCATTTTCTTGGTAAAAATGACCTTAAAATGTTTGAAATCCTTATAGGTTACCTTAGAATTTTGTTTTCTAGAACTCGCCATCCACATATTATCTAGATGCTGCCTAATCAACCATTGCGTGAAATTAAAATCTGAAGAAAAAAACAGAGAGAAACCAGTTTTAGGAGCCTTTTATTTTTAGAAAACTGAGTGATTTTTATATTTTTAGGCTTATTGATGAACCTTGCTACCGCTGCTATTGAGCCATTCTAAACCATAGGATTCCACTAGGAAACTTTTTTGTAGCAGCTTTACAGCATTTGTTAGAACCCAAGAAAATCCACATCATAGTTCTCCATCCTTGTAGGATTTCTAGCTCACTTTATTTTTTAATGCTCTGGGCATAAAGTCTTAAGTGTGAGTTTGTAAGGTGCACTTTGTTTTTCTTGATGATGATAAAAAGTTTGGTTTCTTTTGGTCTTTTGAACGTAGACGTTCAAGTCTTAAGTGTGGGGGTATTTGATAAGTCGTTTTTGGGTTAGTTCTTTTTATTCTTTTTTATGCATTTTTTATAATTTTAGTATTTAATTTTTAGTTCTTTAGTTTAGTTTTATTTTAATTCTCATTTTTACAATCTTTTATTTTTCTTTCATAAATAGTAGTTTTTTAATCATTTTTTACATTCTATTATTTTAATTTTATTTTTCCTAACCAAAAAATTATCAGATATCTTATTGTTTGGAGAAAAATATAGCAAAAGGCCAAAACGGAGTTCAAGTTTGAAAAGAAGAGATTGAATTTGGCCCAAAGCCCAAAGCCATCAACAAATACAACCCATCTCTGCTCCCTCATTCTAAGTCAACGAAGAAAGGAAAAAAATGCGCTCCATCTCCTTCTTCTTCGAAGAGTAACGGCGACGACCAAGCCTCCAAC